TGATGATTTAATCACCCTCAAGGCATCCTAGGTGTATATGACTTCTTCTTTCAGCTGAAAGCAATCACAGTTATATTAAAAAATGTCCTGGCTCTTCCAAGCTTTAAAATCGAGATTTTGAAGCCCAAAAAATGCATCCATCCATCATAAAAAGCACTACACATGGCACTGGGGGGTTAATAAAGGCCTCCTGAAGTGAAGTGATGCGTTTGTGTAAGAAAAATATCCGTATTTAAAACTTTATAAACTGTAATCTTTAGTTTCCACTAACTGTCGTATGCGTGTTCACGAGAGAGAGGCTTTCCAGCGGATGATGTAGGACATAGGCGTAGCGTATGCTCCAGTGAGAATATGCTAGTTTCACGAGAGCCTAGTTTTGTTTACAGCAAAGGAAAACCAGTCCCCCTTGGCTTTATCGAAATCCTCCAACATTTTTCTTTACAAATCCTTGTTTTGTACTTCTAATTGGTGACCAGTGTTTTGTTTTCCTCTCTCCACTGCATTTCCGCGTTCGTCACTTCTCACCGGAGCTTATGCTATGCCTACGTCCTACATTATCCACTGGAACACCACTCTCTCGTGAACATGCTCACGACAGTTAGAGGAAGCTAGAGATTATTGTTTATATAGTTTTAAGTTATATAGTGACAATACACTGCCCCTTTAAAATGCTGATTTTTTCCCTTCTGGCACTGGTCTTGTTATTCGCAGTTGTATTCAACAATTAAAATCAAAGAACAATTTCATAATTTTTAGCTCATCTGTTAAGTATCAACTAAACTGATTTTCAATTCATTCAACAACATTCTACACATTTTGTACACATTCATTTAACAGAACATGAACACAAAACTGTGACATCCACAGCTCTTTGTTATTTGAAAATTGTCCCGTGGACCCTTTCTACAGATAAAAAAACAACAACAACTTGTATTCCCATTTCACTATTTTCACACAAATTGCACGGTGACTGCATTCATCAAGCACAACCCTTCACTCTTGTTATCAAAGTTTTTGTAAGAAAACAGTGACAACAAAAAATCATCTCCTTTTACTTTTTCTTCCTATTAATGAATATTTTATTGAATGTCACTGGGTCATTGAGCCGTGTGTGTGTGTGTGTGTGTGTGTGTGTGTGTGAGACTTTTTCTAAGTATAAGTCAAGTATACTTAAATGTAATTTTAAGTATATTTCTGAGAAGTGCATAAAGCCCATTTCTGAGAAGTACATAAAAAGTAGACTAAAAGTATACTTTCCTATTTTTAGTTTAAAAGAAGTATACTAATAGCACACTTGAATAAACTTCTTTTTAGTAAGGGAGGCCAGGCCAATAAGCAGTGTTGAAAGGAGATAACACCATATTCTCAAACAATGATGCTTAGCTGAAGTGAGCAAGGGCAAAAGGAAACTGTAGAGAGTGTAAAGCAATAGTGAGATTATTAGTGCTCTAAGAATTACTGGACAGTTACATCAAAGCATCTGCCATCTTTCACCACCCATATTGTATCGTAAATGTAGTATATAATTCATGTGTCAGTATTTTTGGTGGTGTTGTTGTGTCCTGTCTCTGATTTGCTGTGTAGAAAAAAAAGTATCTTTCCCCTGTGGTCTCACAGATACTCACTGCTTTATCTTACCCAACTAACTCTCCCATGATATTTAAACCACTGCACTGATATTAATATTTAGTTTAATCTCTGCTTTATTCTCTATGATCTCAGATGATTCTGTGTGACATTAACTTAATATGCTGTGAAACTGCACATCATCCCGCTATTGCTTTTATTCCCCAAATTAGAGAGACAAAAAAATCATTAATTTAAGGAATGAAAAAAAAGAAAACTGTCATAATTTTTCTCATCCTCAAATTGTTCCAAACCTGTTTATATTGTCTTTAGTGTATATATTTATTTGTATGTCCTGCAATACTATTTATTATTTTCAATATCCTCATCCTCATGATATTCCTACCTCATATAAATCAACATATACATAAAAAAGTACTTTAAGTCATTTTAATTTGTCTGTTACACACTGTGTTTTGTGTCACCGTCACTGAGATTATTCTATAGTTGATATTCCACATGCAGCTGGACATTATTAGTGCATCACTCAATGGAAACTTAATAAGCATTGCTCATATCTCTGCTAACAGCAATAAAACCTTCAGTTGTGAGCTATTGGAGCTGGCATGTCAAAATCAAGAATTTGAATCTAGCTTGTAGAGATATCATCAGAAATACATTATGCATGGTCATTGTCTCTCAATTAATGTCTTTAGAAGATGCAATATTGTGCAAAAATTGCATGTGTTAATCAGCACTCTAAGGAAATAACCTATTAGCACAGTATGAGCAATGTACATGCCGAGCTCTGATGCAGATAATGTGTCATTGATTGGATTCTGTGACTGACATTAGCTAGAGGTTATGTGTCAATTTAATTAAATCTCATCAGTTAGAAGACCAACTGTTGTGCATTATAGCTGTCATAGCTTAACTGCTTTTCACTTCAGCCTTTTTTATGACTAAATTCAACATAATCTGGAACTGATGCAATGGCACAAACCATAGGGAAAAAAACTACAGCAATGCTATACTTTGTTTCTGTAAGTAGGTTTCTAATAGCAGGGGAAAAATCTTAATTTGCGTACTTAAATATTTCATAAGCTTCAGTGCTTAACATCTCGATTTGAACGGGTTTGCATAAGATGATCAGATTTGCATAATAATACAATAGTACAGTTTTATCAAGCTTTCAGAAAGACTTGCTCACATTTTATTTCACAGTTACTAATGGCTGCTGAACTAAAATGGTGAAAAACCGTCAAGAAATGTCTGAATCATATTTCACAATCAAAAGAAGGTTTTTAAAGGAATAGGCCTTGTTCCCCCCAAATTGAAAATTTGCGGAATATTTACTCCAAGATGTAGATGATTTTGTTAATTCTTCGGAACAGATTTTGAGAAATTTAGCATTACATAATTTGCTCACCAATTAATCCTCTGCAGTAAATGGATGCCGTCTGAATGAGAGTCCAAACAGCTGTTAAAAGCATCACAATAATCCACAAGTAATCATTCAAGAGTCAATCATTTAATGTCTTCTGAAGTGAAAAGCTGTGTGTTTGTAAGAAACAAACCCATCAGTTTTAAAATTTTCAGGTGAACTATTCTGGTAACACTTAACAATAAGGTCTCATTAGTCAATGTTAGTTAATGCATTAACTAACAATAACCAACACATTTGTTATAGTATTTGTTCATCTTTTTTAATGTTAGTTAATGCAAATATGACTGTTCATTATGTTAGAAAATGTTAGCTTTGGTCCATTGTTAATAACCAGATTGTCACACGTGCTGCTAGGAAGACGATGACGGTATTCCACATAAAGTCCTTTAATTATAATTCACACGGTACAAGAGCGGTAAACTTAGGGTGATACAAACACGTCTGACAATAAACAATAACCGACAGTAAACTGAACAGAAAGGAGACTATAAATAGGTCAGCTGACGAGGGGTAAACAGGTGAAGAGGATCAACTGATAATGACAAAATGAGAACAGGAACATGACCAAATATGGACACAGAGGGAGAAAACACAACAAACAGTCCATAACTGTGACATTTCGCCCCCCTCCTGGAAGGTGGAGAGAAAAAGGGTGGGACAGAGGGGGACTTAGGAGGAGGACAAACGAGTGGAATATATATGGGTGCTAACGAGGGACAGACAGGTGAGTAGGATCAACCAAATATGGGCACAGAGGGTGAAAACACAACAAACAGTTCATAACTGTGACAGTTAGCCCCCCTCCCGGAAGGCGCGACCCCGCGCCGTGGAGAAAAAAAGGGTGGGACGGAGGGGGACTTAGGAGGAGGACAAATGAGTGGAAGTGGGATGGAAAAGGGCTGGCAGGAAGGCAGGCAGACACATACTGGAAGAGATTCTGGCGGAGGACGGACACCCGGGAGGAGGATGACAACCAGAGTCCAGGGTGGAGATGGCGAAAAGAGCCAGGGAGGATCAGACGGAGGGAGGAGCCAGGGAGGAGACAGGCGGGACTTGGAGCAGGAGGAGCCAGGCAGGACCCAGGCCACAGTCATGATAGCGGCCCACGGTGGAGCCGACGGAGGGAGGAGCCAAGGTGGAGGAAGGGCTGACGGCTCCAGGGGGCTGACCAACAGGCGGTGGAGCAGGTGGTGGAGCCCGAGGCGGCAACAGAGAACCGAAGAGCCAGGGTGAAGCCGAAGATCCGGAGGACCAAGGTGGAGCCGGAGGCTTCGGCGACCAAGGTGTAGGCGGAGATCCGGAAGGCCGCGGCAGAGCCAAAGCGACAGAGGACTGAGGTGGAGCTGGAGGGAGGGAGGAGCCCAACGGATCCAGAGGGACGGAAGGACGAGGCAAAGCCAGAGGAGTGAAGTCCTGAGGTGGAGGTAGGGGGACGACTGACCAAGGCGGAGCCGGAGGGACGAGGGAGCCTGGCGGAGTTGGT